CACTGTGTTGTCAGTACCTCCAACCATTCCCCAGTGCAAATCCATCCACTGAGTTTAGTCAGCCTATCTAGAGTCCCTTGTTTTAGGAAGTTCATCTCTTCTTCATCTAGCAGCAATCAGTTGCCAACATTCCTTTCAATAAGATTGGGGTATGCTGCTCATTTTCCAAGTTCTATGCTGGGTTACTGTCTGTCTGAGTTTGCATGGGACTTGTGTATGCTGACACCTTTGCCATAGAATCATATGAGCAGGTTCCCAGGAGCTTGTAGGACTCTGTTTCCACATGTTCATACCCATCCTCCCTGGTTCTTACAATCTCTCTCCTCCCTCTTCTGCAATGGTCCCTGAGTCTTGGGTGGATGAAATTTAATAAAGAGGTCCTGTCCAAGGACCATTATTTAGCAGACTCTCGATTTCTACACATTGGCCATTTGTGACCTTTTGTGTTCCTGGCCCTCCGCTGCATGAGGGAGCTTCATTATTGAGAACTGATTCCTTAATTTCCTCTTCCTTATCCCTGAGTCTTAGGTGTAGAAGTTTCATTGCAGATATGTCCCTTTGGCCTGGGCAATTCATAGACAATGTCTGTGTGTTACAAGTTGTGGTACTTGGTATTAGTCTCTGACTGCTGCAAAGTGAGCCTCTTTGATGAGTGGTGACTGGGGTATTTGTCTGTAAATAAAAGGATACATATTTTGCAGATACTAAGAAATCACATTAGTCTAGCAATGTGAGAGTTTTGGGGTTTTCTCTAAGATCTATGCCCACTCCAGCCATGTGTATTAGATTATGTTACAACACCACACTTGAGTTTCCTCCCACTGAGTGGGCTTTTAGTCAAACTAGGTAGCTGTTTATTGCCCCTAAGACAAAAGTGCCACTACTGCACCAATGGAGTATGCTGTGCTGGCTGTTGATGTTGTTATTTGGTCTTGAAACTGGTGCTGGATCATCTGTTGATGTTTTCCCTTGGCACTTTCATAGTGTTCTCCAAAGCTATGAGAGCTCACCTTCAGGGGAAGTGGCTTCCAGATCAGTTTTAGCTCTAGTTCTCCAAATCCTGTGTCTGATGTATGTTCTGTCTTCAGCAGTAGGGTCTTTCCTTCAAGTTCTGGGAGCCCATCAAGAGCTGTGGCAATAGCCTGAGTTGTTTTGGGAGTCTCTTGGACTACCCTGGTCAATAACTCAAAGGAAGGTATCATCTGTCTGGCACTTTTTCTTGTGATGTAGCCTTTACATGGCTATACACATGGACTCTTAAAGAAATATACTGATCATTTTAATCTTTGGTTATACTTTCCTTTGGGGTGTTTAAGACCACACAGTTGGCCCAAATAAACCAACTTATTTTTATCCTTAAGGTTGTTTGAGGATCTGTTCCTCTGGGCTCACATGGGCTTGGGGGGCACCCCTGGCTCCTTTCTTTAAGCCCCTGGCTCCTTTCTTTCACTAGTTCCATCTATGTGAAGAGAAGTCAAAGGTCCTACTCAACCACGGCTGGCTTCACTTGGAAGCATGGAGGAAATGTGTGGGTCACCTGTCCTCTTGTTCAGGGAGGCCATGGAGACCCCACCAGATGGACTTGAACCAGTATCCAGTCTACAAATGGGAGGGTCAAAACAGTGGAAACATCACAAGCATTTTTAAGTTAATGTTATAGCTTCATTCTGTTGCTGTAATAAAAACTCTCACCAAAACCAACTTAGGGACTGAAAGAGCTTCCAGGCCCAAGATGATCATTGAAGGAAATCAAGGTAAGAGTTCAAGCAAGAACTTGAAGCAGAAACCATGGAGAAGTGTTTCTTGCAGGTTGGCTTACAGGCTCATGCTTAGATAACTTTCTTATACAGCCCAGGACCACCTGCCCAGGAAATGGTATCACCCATAGTGGGCTGGGTCCTCCTATATCAGTTGGCATCAAGACAGTTCTCTACGGACATTCCCACAGGTCAATCTGATCTGCACAATCCCTCAATGAGACTGCCTTCTCAGGTAACTCTAAGTTGTGTCAAGTTGACAGTTAAAGCTAACTAGGACAGTTAACATTTGAAAAAACTCATATGTCTAGACACCTTTATAATAGGGTGCTATTCAAAGTAATTATGAAAATGCTGCTTGACCTTAACTTTTCCTGTCCTGATAGACCTTTAACATGTGATGGTAATTTGTATATGTGAGTCTCAAGAAATGAAAAAAATTTACATTTACATCAAGTGGATATTTTCTCCCATAATTAAGAGCTGAATGCTTATGGGAGAGAGATTAGACTTCAAGCATGCTAAATTTTCTCTTCATAATTGCAAATATGCACATCAGGTTGGGTCTGCCCTGTTCTTGAGCTGTATCTCTTTTTATTTTTATATTCATCCTAAGGTTTCAGGAGCGTTTTTATAAGGTTGAAAATTTAGACCAGACAAGTGAAGATTACCAAGGTTGTAATCCTTCTTAGAATAAAGAAGTCCCATCCTTACACAATACTATTACACTGAAACTCTTAGATTTCATCATAGGATTCAATCTTAAGATTATCACTCAAATTGGGTGACATGAGTTTTACAGTTCAAATTTGTCTATAATCTCATTAATTCATGGATCGATTCTGTCCGAATGTTGCTGTGACTATCATGTAACATATAATTGATTATGAGTTGTTCCCCAGTATACAAATGCTGTGAAGTTGGTGCTGAGCAGAAATGACATGTGTGAGTTAACAGGAGTAGGCCATAGTTACAAACCACTCTGTGATCACACCTTTTGCTAAAATCTATCACGGTAGACACACATTTTCATAAAGTAAAGGATAAATACCAGCTTCTCTGGATCTTTTGCCACTCATAAGTAACCCTTGTAAAATCCCGTGACTCCTCTACATAGTTCTCATTCATTTCTGAATTCCAGAGATGTTTATAGGGCTCTGGCAACAGGCCAGCCACAGTGTTAAAGAGCAGGGCTGAACAGTAAAGAACACTGAGCCCCAGCTCTCTAGAAGTCACACACAGGAGGAGACAGAGGCAAGGACTTCCTGGATATGCTTGATCTCCAATCACTGAGACCTTTGATCTCATTTTCAGAACCACCAGCTCATCAGACACTCAGACGCCAGCAGTGGGCAGCATCTGGCCAGGCTTCCTTCTTCCTGCCATAGGCAGTTTATTTCCCTTAGCTGAGCTTCTGTGATTTCCCTCACATAGAACCAACGTGCCTTCTGTGAAAGTGTGGAAGGGCAGCCCTTTTGTGGTGCTTAGAGTCAAGCTATTCAAGTGTTTGAGTCACCTGGCCCATGGTAGGAATTCAGTAGACTGAATTAGGCAGATGTGCAAATGTATTTTCTTACAGGGTGGGGAAGGGTAAGGGTTTAGTGAGGAGGGCTGGGCATGATGCTGCATTTCTTCTGCAAATGCAAAAATTTCTGCATCTTTTTGAACATTAGCTTCATTCTCTCCTGTTCTTCCTACCTAACTGTGGCACTCTGATTTTATATACTTTAGAGAACTGAGAACAGAAAGGAGGGTTTCATTTTCCCAGGTTGAAAATTCCTATTTCCAAGGGAAAGGCTAAATACTGAGCTGATGTCAATAGAGTAAAGCTTCTATCATCACACAGCATTGGTAACTCACCATTCCCGTGTGGGGGTGGAGTCTCTATGGGTGGGACAGTCACCCCATCCCTGAACATATCATAGGCCTATATAGCTTCTCTTTCCTATCTGAACACAGGCAGGAGATATAGCTAGAGACAAAATTCTCCCACTGTTTTCTAGTCAATTACGTTTTTCTTATCATCACTTAAAACACTTCTTGATACTTTTTGAAATCTGTATCCTAGCTCCTATGTCAATATATTCTATCTGCATTCCTTCTTAGATCTCCATTGCAGAGACTGTAACACGTAACTGTATACTATGTGAGGGCATAGATTAGTCCAACCAAAATCCCTACAGAATTACTCACTCATGGCAAGAAAGATCTGGGAATCTAAACAGCAGTGAAACACAACCTTTCAAAGTGCAGACCCTGGTTCTAGGCTGAAATAATTTCAGTAAGATTTGAGAAGATTCAAAAACATTAGAGGTCACCTTTAGAAAACATGTTTGATTATTTAAACACATTTTATATTGGTGGACATTATTTACTTTTGTTCATTAATACACATATTATACCTGCACTCCTGGCACATATTATAAATATGCTAATCTTTGAAATATATACTTTAATCTTTTGAAGACTGACTAACAAGAAAAATGGGCTAGCAAGATGGTTCAGTGGTTAAGAGCACTTTACTGCTCTTACAGAGGATTGGAGTTTGGTTGCCAGCACTCAAATAAGGCAGCTCACAACTACCTCCAACTCCTGCTTTAGGGGATCTGACTCACTGTTCTGGTCTTCACAGACTCCTGCACACATGTGTGCATGTACACACTCATAAGCATGCATACACACACACACACAGAAAAATAAAATAAAAAGTGAAAAGATTGTTTTAAAAGAATATAACTCCCTTTTATTCTAATACAAACCAAGGCTTATCAGTTGCTTGATAAACACTTTCTTTTTTAATTGAATTTTTGTGTATTTCGTACAGAACATCTCAATCAATCTTAATCATCTTCATACCTCCTTCCCCACAGGCACCCTTCCATAGCACCCCCACTGGAATTCATACATTCTGTCATTTGTCTTAAGGCCTATTATGTCAAGTTAGTGTCTCCAGATGTCCCTCAGTGCAAGTTCAACTACTGAGGTCTAGTCAACCTATCTAGAGTCTCTTGCTTTAGGAAAATCAGTTCTTACTCACCCAGCAGTAATGTGTGGTACTGTAAACATAGCCAAATACACATGGCTGAAGAGGTCACAGACCTTGGAGAAAACCCCCAAACTGTCACATCCCTAGAGTAATGTAATTTCTTACTATGCATAAAATATATATCCTTATATTGATAAACACTTTACTGAAAATATTCAACCATATTGCCTGCCCTTTCAGTAGAAGGCTGACGGTACCTTTTGGCTATTACTTGTCCCACATGACTCTTGACACAGAAGATCTTCCGTGTCTGAATGCCCACTCCACATGTTGCTTCTCCATTCCAACCAATGGTTGCATTAAGAGAAGTCATGAGTGTGTTTTCAGAACAGGGCCCCCAAGGTGATGTCTCCCAGTAGAGCTGTGTACAGGAATGGTCGTTGCATAACCGGTACTCTTGGAGTGCCTGACTAGGAGGACAAGGTTTTCCACCTGCAAAAATTAGAAATTACAAAGAAAATATAAATTTATGCTTTTCTTGTTCTTGTGCTTTTCCCCTATGACCCAAAGACCTGAGCTACAGAATCCTTCCCCCATGACCTGGATACCTGAGCTACTGAGCCCTTCTGACTCTAAGATCAAGAATTTATGTCCTGAGCCACAACCTGAGGATAATGTTGTATTCTTTTCTTCTAATTAATAGGCAGCAGTCCACATTCAATAGATTATAAAATTAATTGAGTCTATCATCCACTCATGAGGTATTCATCTCTGAGATGAACTCCAAAGAAACCTGCTTTCCTTTTAATATTATTATTAATCTGTGAGAGAGAAAATCTCATGACCTTGGATTGATATTATCTCAAACATACATATTATATGTAGTTTCTCTTTCCTAAGAAGAGATATTTTTCCCAGAGTGACATTTTAAAGTACTCATCAAGCATTTTACTGTGACTCAAGAAATCCAGAAGCATGCTTTAAAATCTGGCAGGAGAAAGCTCATCCTAAGCTCTAAAATAGTTCCGACAACCCGCTATGCACTGGCAGGGAGACCAGGCAGATGTTCACCCTTATTCTCTTGGGTGAATCAGATAATCAAACTTCATTACTGTCTATTCTTTTACATTTTTATAGCAATGTAAAAAGTAGTGTTTGTCTGAAAAGTATTGATCTTTTGCTACTCATCGACACCATAATATTTTAATCGGTGAGTCAAATATCCAAGATTTGTAAACTTGGTTTTGTTATTTGATATTTTTATTCTAATTAAACACTAATGACTTTCTTCCTCCTGGAAATATGAAAGATGGGAGAATTCTAAAAGTAGTTGCAGTTAAAGAGCAGGAAAATCTTCCTTTACCATGACCCTGTCCCTATTTCTCAGGATCACAGTGCAGAAATCTTGTTTAAGAAGTTTTTCCCAGCTGGGGTCCCACTGTCCTGCTGTTCTAATGGAGCCGAAGGCAGAGGAAACAGAGAGGACATGAAAGTAAAGACATGTATATCTGGGGACAGAGTCCATCCTGGAAATGAGGGGAGCAGCTGCTACTTTAATTTGTTCTGAAGTCACTGTTCATATCCCACATACCTTTTACCTTCTTCAAAACCATTTTCATGGCTTTCATGTTCCCTCCCTGCCCCCTGGCACTCAGTGTTCTGAAAGAGGAAATCAGGACACAGATCAGGTGCCTTACCAATGTTATTCTCAGTTCTCTGTGGAAAAGGAAGGTCTCCTAGTGCCTACTTTGGAACTCCTTTTTTACTTGACATGTCCAATTATGCTCCCAATTGTTCAAGGTATCTGAACCTGGATGTCTGTGGAACAACCTTTGCTTCCTTCTCTAAGAACTATGGAAAAAAAGCAGCATCTAATTCGTTAGACTGGGCTCCAGGTAAAGCATGAACTAAGGTTGTTTATGTGAAGAGGCAAACACAGCACAGATGATATAGAGGACTAACAGAAGGAAAGCCCACATGAAATGGTCAATGTGAATTTAGGGACTAGAGATTACCTATGTGAAGCTACTTTCATGATAAAAATGTCTCAGTTACATATCCAAAAATAGTAATAATTGAGGTATTGAATCTGTTACTTACCTTCTCCAGCCAAGGCCAGGATAGATCTTGACCTGGTCTGTTTCCCATCTGAGTTTTTATTTGAACAGGACTGGGAGCAGGCTGACCACACTGTCCACTCGCTAACCACACAGTCCATTCGGCATGGAATTTCACAAGCCATCCTTTCAGGAGGAGGTGGCACTGGGCAGAGACTCCCTGATACTTCATCTCCTGTAACACACCAGTTAGAGACAGTTGCTGATTTAATGAACACTCAGGATCATGGCTTTCTCTATTATTTCAGTTTATCTTGGATGCCTTCATCTGGTGTCTAAACCAATGAAACACAATATGGCAGTATCATCAGCTATCCATAATGTTTATGTCAAGGAAAACTGCCTACAGGTGATGTGGTATTTAGAAAGGTAGATAATGTGGCAAAATTCTCATTTGTCATCCTTCATAGGGAAAAAGTGAGTTTCTTCTAGAAACAATTTAGCCATGGATGGCTGGAGTTAACTATGATTGACATGTTAATGACAGCCATATGGAACGAGTGCTCACTTATCTTCAAAGTGGAGGTCAGGATGGTCGGAACACCACAATTTATGCTGGCTATCATAATCTACCCTATAAAGATGAATCTCATCATCCTAATTTTCTTCTGACCATTTTTACCTCTAAAGACATAATATTTAACATGATTATCATTTGATTTTGGAAACTAAAATGGAATGAGCCTGTGGCTGAAATTACATAATGTGTCAACAAAAGTTGAAAGCAGTTTCTCCCTAATACATTTGATAATCCTCCTTAAATAATCTAATTAATTTCTAAGCCACATAATAACTGTACTAAAAAACATGACACAAAACACACCAAATATCAAAGATTACAACTTTTGTTATTGACACAGTGCCTTTGTCTTTCTAAAAATAATGTTCATAATCCTTTGATATCATATCCTGCTATAGAGTTTTTCAGAAGCTTTAAAATAAGGTGGGCTAGCATTTAACAATGAACAGCTGTTAAGACTAATGGGATTACATTTAAGTTTTTTTCCATATCTCAAAAGATAACAGTAGTTTCTAGGGGAAAAAAAAACCTTTCAGGTTATTTATTCATCATGATGACAAATTCCTTAGAGATAATAATTCAATTCTATTTGCCCCCTCCATTCACAGTCTCCTTATAAAAACAGAGGACACAAAGAATAGAGACACCATTTATTATTTGAAATAGCATCAAATGTGGAATGGCAGGTAGCTCTAGGAGATAGGCAGTTTTGTCTGAGTGACTTTACAGCTTGGAATTCTCCTGTCAGATAGTAGAACACAAACAACAACTGCCAAGGGGGTGTCTATTGAGAGCCTCCTTGCTGCTGCATTTGTGTTTTGCATATTTTCTATAGGCTTAGCGTATGTTAATACATCCCTGGAAGAAACTCATGGGGGCCAGCAGGATCTGTCTTAGCTCACAGACAAGGATTCAGAGGGTTAGAGAGGAAAACTGGCTCATGGTTACCCAAGGCAAAGTTGGGAATCACATCTAAATCCTTTAATTCCCGAACTTCCATTTTCCCATTATCTATGCTTTGTCTAATTCCAAGGAGATGGATATTCTTTTTCTGAGGAAGTAAATAAAACAAGCTGACAGTCGGAGAGTCTGCCTGAAGGAGAAGACAGTGCGTGGTGAATATCTGCATTTGTATTTGTAAATGAGGCCAGGCTTATTGCCCTTGAGGTACAAATAAATTTTTTCAAGCATATTATGAGAAGTAATAGAGATTCCAACAGATAATCAAGCTGAAAGATCAGTTTCAATCATTCTTCTTTCTGTCTCAATCTATTTCTCAGGTTGAGTCCACACTGTGTATTCGCCCCCTCCACACACACAGGAAGTCAGCTAGGGGCTTCTAATTCCCATATGCAGAAGCCAGCAGGCCAGGAAAAAATACCCAACCTACATCTAATCAAAATTTAATTCCCATGCTTGTGAATATGATTAGCATAATTTTAACATAAAACATTCTGAAGCAATGGTTTGCAAAGCTCATTTCCAGGATAAGAGATAATCATAAGAATTTTATTTTAAAAAAGTATGTTGGGGTGGTGCATTGAGAAAGACAAAGTTAAACATGGAAAACTCATCTCTGAAAATGTGAGTAAACAGCAGATATTTCCCAGGAATCAAATGCGAGATGGTGTTTTTTCACCTTAGTTCATCACCAGCCATCCTTATTTTATTTAATTATTTTATTATCTTATTTTAATGTTTTCAGGAACAGCTTGCTAAAAGAAATGGCATCTTTATAAGTTTGCTTTAACAAAATCTTTTTTATTTTTACTTTATTTTTAATTTTTTACACAAATAATTTATTGTGAATTTCATGCATATAAGGTGTTTTGATCAAATCCATGCCCACTCCCTCCCCTACAACTCCTCCCATATATCCCCATCACTTTTTTCTGATAACTTCATGTACTCTTTCTTCTTTGATTTATTTATTTATTTTGGGGCTTTTGGCTACTCTACCATCCCCATTCTGAAGAGGTAACCCTAAAATCTTTTAAGGATTAGATAAAAGCTCCGAAATATTTTCAACATTTTTGGCCTTTGGAGTGGAGTATGTTGCTAAGAGGCCCAAGGACATTGTGAGTTTTAGCCAAGAAACTGGCTACTTTTCTTTGGGGTCTTTTTATCCTAACTGCCTAGCCAATTCCTACCTTCTATTCTGATCACACCATCCTCTGAAGAGGTTACAGCCAAGAAACTGGCTATTTTTCTTTGGGGTCTTTTTACCCTAACTGCCTAGCCATTTCCTAACTTCTATTCTTATCACACCATCCACTAAAGAGATTACCCAATTTGTGGATAGGGAATTGGGTCTCAGATCTCACTGGCTTCTTCCATGCTGAACAGGGACACAAGGGGAGGCAATTGGAGTACCCTTTAGTGGGTCTATCTAAAAGACTCCCAAATCATATAACTCTTATCTCTAGGGGGAAAAGAAGGTCCTTGAATCGTGAATAGGAGATGTGAAGGAGAAGTAAAGGTGAGAGTAATTAGCATTAGAAGTTCTAGACAGGGAACTAGAAAAAAGTCAGAACAGGGCAATTTTCAAATGTTCACATGCGAGTCCATTGGAATTTCTTGAGGGCTTCCAAAAGCATCCCTCTATTGGGATCCTCCTCATTTTTCTTTTGTCTTCCAAGGATGGATTCTAGAGTGATGGATTCAGGATTTGCTTTCAGGTATTTTGATAGCTGATAGAGTGGTTAGAGATAGTGTCAGTTCCCTCTCAAAGGCTTCGAGATAACTGATGGATTGCTAAGGTGTATGTATGGCCTGAGGGTATGCCCACTGGAAAGCCTTTACCCACCATGGGTCATGGCTTTAAGAAAATCTTACTTCAAAAATTATAAAATGTATAGTGAATATAATGGAATAAAAACACATGAGATCAATATTATGTACCACCCTAGAGCTTGTATTAATAAAGCTACACACATAACAAAATTAAACCAAGTCCAGAAGTAAATGGAAAATTGTGAATGTATGATACAGTCAGAAAATATTGCCATGATTCATGACGGAGATTCTGCTGGGGTTATTTAATGTCATGATGTGCTTTTCAAGGAGGCAGAGGAAGGCCGAGATCATTGACACTTAGGGGAGGGTGCCTCAGGCAAAGGAACTATTCAAAAAAGGAGAGGGATAGGAACATAAAGATATCTTCATAGATAATGCTGACCATCCATGGAAAGAGAAGAATTTCCATGTTGGAAGTTATTTGACATTACATCCTGGGAACAAGTTTTGCTTCACCTGCCTTCTTTAAGTTCCCAGTCCCTCTACCTTCTCATTACCCAGATTTGACCCTCTCCCCAGGCATCACACACTCAGGCTCTCAGCATTTGCTTCCGGTTCTAAAGTACTTTCTAAAACCAAAGTTTTCTTATGAAGTGATACACCTATTAACCAGTGCAGTTAAATGTCAATGTGCCCACCAATATTCTGATAGCTTGCCTGTAGAGAGTAATGTAAGTATGTGAGCAAACAGATCAGAGCTGCCTTAGGGAAGCCAAACTGATAGTCATAAGCAGATCCTGTAATTCTCATGTGTCCTATTGTATAAGAAACCTTGCTATAGAAAAGTTGCATAGAGAATTCTAGCAGCAATGTGTCCTAGCTAGTCACAGGTAAGTGTTGCAAAGAGGATCTTAGCCACCAGCATTTACCGTCTTAAGGAGACCACTTAACTTCCTTTACTGTCTGTGATCTCATTATGGTAATAATGACATGAGAACATTCACCTTTCAGAGAAAGTCTAAGGATGAGGGATTACTTACAGCACACATAAAAAGTAATCTAACCCATGGAAGGCTCTCAATAAGGAGAAATTTTAAAAGATTTTATTTGCAATGACACACACACACACACACACACACAAACACACACACACCCTGAAGGGCTTTTCATCTGATAAATCTTGGGTTTTATCTTGAAACCATGGAGCACACTAGCTTTATCATTCATATTGGTTACAAGTAACTATCAATCATTTCACACATAGGTTCGCATGAATGATAGAAGATATTTATAACCATCTAGCCCATTTTGTTGATAAGGTAGAATAATCTAGACCTTTCAAAAACTCAATTAAAGCACTTGTGTCTGAAACCCATCCAGGCCTGTCATCCAGGTTGGTGTAATTATGTTTCCATTGCATACAGAAACCCATGGCAGAAGAAACATCTGGACTTTGCCATTTTCTTTCTCTTAGATGGATCAACGAAACCAACTGACTTGAGGCATTTGTGCAAAACACAGCAACACGGGGAGAAAAGCTAAGCCATTAGCTGTGATTATTTACAGGCTCAGATAGTCTAATGTTATAATAAAATAGTGGTAAGTTAGAGTGAGTTTAAATTCATCTTTAAAGAAAAATATAAACTTACTCCCAGCCTTCTCCAGATTCCCTGAAATCAATGTTGAACAAGATTGTGCTGTCACTCTTGAGTAGACTTACTTAATCTAGTGGCATGGGACTCCTATGACCTCATCACTTAGTATTAAAAAAAAAATTCATTATGGTGAAATTCACATTACACAAATTAAGCATTTTAAAATAAACATTTTAGTGTTATTTAGAACACTCACAATTGTATATAACCATCACTTCTACCTAGTTACAATATATGCTCATCCCTCCAATGTTAAGCCCTGCA